TTGATACAATAGTATTGATTACTCAAATAGTAATTAAATAGTATTGATAAAATGTAGAAATTTAAATGAATTCCGTTCCTGGAATTAATAGATAGCAAGTAGGAAGTAGGGAAACATTACATGAGTGGCAAATCTTTGAATAGCTGGAACCGTTTGGTTTTCTCAAAGCATTAATTATAACTCTTGACGACATTTCTTTACGCAATAACTTGAATATTGCTACAGGCCCATTCTGTGTTGCATTCTCAGTTACCACACACCATTAAATGTGATCCAGTTTCATTCTTGCTGTTTTCCCCTGAAGCACCAATGCCCCCAAATCAACTCCAGAGTCTTGGTAATTCAAATCTGGAAGCTAGAAGGAATCGCTTCTTGCAAACCATTTCCCGTTATCTGCTCTTGTTTGTAGGTATCCACTCTCTCGCTGCTTCTGTCAATTTACCTTTATATAAGAATTATCTTCAAAGTAGGGAATGGTGCAGTACAACAACAACAACAACAACAAGGTTTCATTTATAGAGCGCTTTTCACGTCGGGAGGATATCCCAAGGCACTGGACAGTTGGGTCAGGACACACGCAGGGGGGAAATGGTCAGGGTGCGGGGAGGGAAGGGAGGGAGCGAGCGAGGAGGGGGTAGATGGTGATGCTTTATAATAATAATAATAATAATAATAATAATAATCCTTGCATTTGATATAGCGCTTTTCACGTTTTCTCGACTTTTCAAAGCGCTTCACAGAGTAGACTGTAAAGTGAATTGACTGTATATTTGTGGCCGAAATGTGGCAGCCAATTGCGCACAGCAGCGTCCCACAAACAGTCATGGATTGAAAATGACCAATTTAATATTTTTTTGGGAGGGATTATTATTAGGTGTGTGGAGTAAGGAAACTTGCCCAAGGTTTCGCCCTGCCTGGAATTGAACCCAGATGTTTCGCTTGCAAAGGCAAGTGCTCTAACCACTGAGCTACAGGACTTTAACCTCGGATAGTCGTGTAGTTGGGCTGTTGAGTCACTCTACAAAGTATTGCCAACTACTCTTAGGAATAAATCCAAACACCAATTTGAAAGAAACAATGCAGTGAAATTCAAATAGATATACACCAATCAAAAACAGATTTAATGCACTCTTTATAGAAGCCAAGACAACTGCTTCATCAAGACAACTGCTTAACAAAGCTGCAGTATGAACACATACCTGTGGAAATAAGCCCTGTTACAGACCATTGGAAGATAATATTCATCACCATCCTGATCACGCTTTAGATTAACCCTGAATCTGCTGGTTGTCTGCAACAAGGAGTTACAATTTCCTGCAGTGAAATATGAGAAGGAGACATGTCGTGTCTCATTAATATTGGGGGATTATGTACGTGGTCTAGTCTAAATACTATTTCTAACTAAGCTTCTATTTTTAATGACTCATTAGAATCAGATATACCATTGGTAGCAATGATAATGGTTGTTTTTTTTAGATGAAATTAAAAACGCAATGTTTGTCATGACTACTAAAATTCTCGCACTAATCTTAGTGATAGTTACAACGAGGTGTTCCTGGAGATAAACTTTCTTCAAGATGAAATACTGGCGAAGGAATTCAATCAATCCTGTGTAATCCTTTCAGGAGACCCGGTCTTATGCCTGGTGGGTTCGCAGAACTCCGTGTTACCAAAATATCTTATTGTGATAACTTTCCCATAAATATTTAAAAGGAAAATGATATTATAGTTTAGTAATTAATTTGGAATATAGACTAAATAAGCAAATTCAGAAATTTGGAAAGTTGATTGACTTGGTATGTAATAAAAATTCATTATGTATAATATAACCATTTGAAATGTGTTTTCATTGCATTCATTGCACAATTTTAAAATTTATCTTTTACCAATTCGCATGAAGTGTGTCATAGAGATGATTCTGAAGTAATGTACTCTATAAAATATTTATCATGCATGTTAGATTTTTATTTATCCATCTGTGGTTACACTAATTGTAATTCCTTCTTGAAAAATATCTCAAAGAATCACTTAAAAGGTTGTGATATTTCTCTAATCATGTAAGTTTGTTCTAAATAAAAACATTTTCACATTAATTTGTTGTTGTTTGTAAACAGTTAAATATATTATACAGTGCATTAATTCAGTGTAATTGAAGATAAACCATGTAAAACTGAAAAGGGATTTGAGTGAATCGGAGGAGAATGAAGTTTAGATTGCAGTTCCAAAGCACAATTGGAGCCCATCCAGCCCATCAAGTTTGCACTGCCGCTTTCCTGTAAATGAACCATTCAGGCCTGAATGCTTATGCTATTGTTGCTTTTCTTTGGAATGCTTATCAAATTAGATCTCCATTCTATATATACCTGACTAAAGTCCGGATCCAACACTCTCTATCAAAGAGTCTCACCCAACTCTTTGTGTCTTTAGAACCTACATGATCCACCAATGTCCACCGCCTCCTTCCTCTTTTTCAGCGTCCAACCCATTTCCCTATAAAATGCACCAAAACCTTACCACAAGTTCACAAAATTGGTATGGATGAAGTTGACCCTTTGGACCATCCAATGTCATTCTTCCAGAACATCCATTGTACCATTTCCCCATCACAGTATCAAGCTGTTTTTTTAAATAGGTCGAGTGTCCTGGCCTCAGCTACTCTTCCTGGCAACTTGTCATTTAGTTACCCATATGTGAAAGGCGCTATATAATTGCATTTTGTTATTGTTGTTGAATTTGTTTTGATTTTTAAATGTATAGTTTCAAATGTACTTTTTAAAAACTAATGTCAGAATCACTGAATAATGGTTTAAATGATGCAACTTTTCCAAGGAAAATATAACTCTCACTATTGGTCAGTTGGTCATGGAAAAAAATGTTTCATGGAGGAAGTGCTTCACTTGCCTTATAATGTCAGATGGTGGCACTGCAACCTCTGTGCCAGTTTACTTTTAAACAAAGTCTGAATTGCATTTACCTTTCCAACAATATTGTCTTTCTATTTATTGTCCAGCTCTGCTCACCAGACTGTCCAACTCTGCCTGAAGCAAGCTACAGACTCTCCAGAACATTGCAGCCCTTGTCATTTCTGCAATAATGTCCAGGTACCTATGGTCCAGATCGTCTCCCTGCTACATTTGCTCCACAATCCCCCAATGTATCGAGTTGAAGATCCTTACCTTCACCATCAAATCCCTCCATATTCTTGCCCTACCATATCTCTGAGACCTCCTCAGCAGTACTTTCCCTGCCATTCGATCAGCAAGCACCAGCCTACACATTACTCAACCCACCATCAGCGGTCAAGATTTCAATCTATCTGCCCCAACTCTCTGGAGCTCCATCCCAGAATCCCTCCGACTTGCCCTCTTCTCCCTCACTTCTTTCAATGGCTGTATCTTGACGTTCCTCTTTGACCACGGAAATACAGTGCAGTGATAGATCCACATATATTAAACATTAAAAATAACATGGTATTAAATTAATTAGTTGTATCATATGATCTTTAATTTCCACCGGAATAGACAGATGGGACCTTGGCATAACATCTAAGTTGAGGGATTGGACCTTTAACACCCTCAGCATTGTCCCTTGCAACCACCCTGGACTATGTGAGTTAAAAGTCCAGGCATGGAGTTTCGTCCAACAATATTTGGATGTTCCCAATTAAACCAGGCGTTCACCTCTTAATAATTGCTTCATTCTTGTGCTGTGCCGAGGACCACAATTCACTGTTTACCATTCGGTTATATCATTATATTTGTACATTAATTTTCTGCTTACGCTTTCCTCTATCTTACAACCATTCCTTTGTATTACAGCGGATTCAGCATGACATGAACTTTACCATATATGGAATGTAAAAGCAGTGTGTGGTTTGATTGTCTCATTGCATTCGTCTGAATAAAAAAAATACTGTGTTAAAGCATGTTCTGTACTGTGAAAAAGGGCAATTGACAAAGTAATTTTGTAGAGATGAAACAGCTGAGATGAAACTTGTAGAGATGAAACAGATGAAACAGACCATCCTTTTTAGTACCAATGTCATTCACCAACAGATATTTAAAGAAGGAGCATTTCTGAAATGGACTTTTTAAGTTGGACAGTCTCCTAAAGTTTTTGATTGATGAACTGGAAATAATAAAATGTGATTATTTCCTTAATTTATGTCAGTCAACTATTAACTCAGGAAATTTATATTTATTTATCTGGAGCACATTTGTGACACTGGGTTGCAATAACTAATTGGATTGTTGCTTTATGTTCAAGGAGACATTGGCATTTGCTAACCTGCCCTAATATTTTCCAGAATTAGGTAAACAGGTGCGACCCTCCTGTATCCACTACTCGTATCCACTTCATTCCAGACAATTGGGACTTTTCCATACGTGTGGGGTATGGATAGGTGGAACTTTCAGTCTGGATTCAATTTTATTAAGCAATGGGGTTCAGCATTATGTGTCAGAAACTCTGTTGACCAAAACTAAGCATGATTTATGACAACTTGAAAGAAGATCTATCAATTGGAAGTGTATGTTCTATACAATCCGTGCTTTACTGATGTTGATCCAGGAAATTTTTCAAGATGTCCAGTATTGACTTGTTCTTAAAATATAAGCAGGTGTTTGTTGTTCAACTGATATTGAAATTGTGCATTATAACTGCACCTATCCACACTACACTGATCTGAAATAAATGCTTAAGCTGTTAATAAAGATGTCAATAAACAACGTCTATATTTAGTATAAGAAAGCGGGTCGCTTGTAATGGAACTTTTGGTGTCACTGAAATACATCAGAAATAGCACATTTCAAAATTTTGGTTGCTTCCTGTTAGGTATATATCAGCACACACATGACCATTAGAACGCCTACACATTAACCTTTCCTTTGCGGTAAATGAATTGCGCCATATGTTGTTGAACAGCTTTCAAGCTAACCCATACCACGTGTTGTTTTACCAATAGTAAAGACGCAAAGTGATTAAATGAGAAAACCACATGATTTATGTTTCACAATCGTTCTTTATTGAAATGTTAAGAAAATACACTACACCACTTCATGAGGCCAAACGGCTTATATGCTTTATTTAACTCTTTATAATTTTTTTTCATTGTTTAGTACAATTTTAAATTGGGTGTGCGATGATTTAAAAGCTATTCGATCAAGGCTTCTAGTCATGATTAGAGCTGTTAATACATTTGCATGAAACTAGATTCTAAATATCACATAAGTACACATGAATAGAATTAAGCATCAATATTTTCCTGCAATGGATTTTCACAAATAAGTAGACACTAATTGAAAAGCATCAAAGCCATTACTTTATAGGGATGGAGAACTAAAAACAAAATGCACCAGTAATTGACTTCTCGCATTACTTCTGTGTGTCTATTTGTTCCCAGTAGATAGCTGCTGATCTGCTGTGGTTTTCACCTGTATTTGAGAATATTCCACACCAATGTTGCTGCATGCTGTTTTCTTTGAGTCTGTTAAATCCAGAACACTGTAAATTATCTTGTTATCGGCTCCCCTTTGTTTGGTCTGTAAAACCAAGATTTCAAGCTTTAGATATTTCAGTGTTCATAAATCTCCTAAGAGAAGGACCTATTATAATTTTGATTACCGCGCCCCCCCATAGCTCGGTTGATAAAGGCACTGCTCATTGTAGAACTCAAGGGTACAAATCAAAGTTCTAATCATCTCTTGCAAAGGAATGTGCAGTGGGACTCAGCAAACCCTGGGCTAGGAAGAAGGTCGGGTGGAAAGTCAGCAGTGGGGGATGATAATTTCCCTCGGAAAGTGATGTGTGTGTGATTATTAGTGAGAATATGTACCAATTATCTTGCGACCAACTATTTGGTGCGCTCAGTGTCTTGGCTTACACAAAAAGAATGACGACTGGCTGTATCTATACTTGTGCCAACAGAGGGTGGAATGTTAGAGGAAAAACAAAATCAAAATATAGACAAGCTTATAGTAAATGACCAAAGTTAGTTCAAATCTACAACAAAAACTGTTGTATATAGCCCCTTCACACATGTTGTGTCTCAGAGTGTAGTTGAAGTGTAGTTCAAATTCTTGAATTCAGTCTTAACTTTGAAGTCAGTTTAGTTTAAAGACCTTACAGTAAACCAGCTTCAAAATTATGATTGCATTTAAGAATTTGTCAAATTCACTAACAAATACACTCAGTGCACCTTACATTAAACCACAATAAGAAACAAAGTGGTGAGGCGCAAATTCTTAATGCAGTCATAATTTTGAAGCTGGTTTTCTGTAAGGTCTTTAATATCAAATGCAATTGATATTAAGTTCAAGGTGGTTCAAAATGCCCTAAATAGAAACACTCTGAATCTAGTTAGAATAAAATAATAGAATAATAAAATAGAATAATAAAATAATAATCCTTGCATTATTATGTTCACGTCTAAAAGATGTCTCAAAGCACTTCACTGAATAGACTGTAAAGTGAATTGACTGTATATTTGTGAGCGAAATGCAGTAGTCAATTGCGCACAACATTGTCCCACAAACAGTTGTGGATTGAAGTGACCAATTTATTATTGTTTCTATTTTAGGGATTATTATCAGGTGTGTGAAGTAAGGAAACTTGCCCAAGGTTTCACCCTGCCAGGAATCGAACCCAGGTCTCTCGCTTGCGAGGCGAGTGCTCTAATCACTGAGCTGCAGGACTCCCTCCATGTACGTTTGATAAAAAGAATCTGTATATTAATTTTGAGTTTCTCAGCTTTACCTGAGCGTACACTGTCCTCTCCTATGGATGTTTAGGTCTCAGAGATTTTTTAGAACTAGTCAAATCCAGTGAAACATAAGCCACCGTCTCATTATTTGCTTCCTGTATCCCCTGTAAAACAAATATGCAATTATTTAGTTTTTTACTTGTTACAAGATCACAAGAGAGGTTCAGATAAAGAAGGCCCTGTGGTTCATTTGACTTCAGCCTTACAGAATAACCACCACAATGTGTTTTGATCACATCATCAACCTGTTATTAAACAAATCCAGCGTCCAGGACTCATCAACGCCTCCTTGTAATCTGCTCCAGTTTTTAACTACATGGTGTCGGTCCTGAAATTGTCCTTTTGCAGCTAAACCTGAGCCTTCTTGTTCTGCTATCTGAGTGCATCTGAAGGTATTGTTCTGGGTTTACTTTCTCACTCCCATTAAACATATTGTACAGTTCCATAAAATTCACTTTGAGAAATTTCCTTTCGAGACTGAAGAGCACTATGTTTTCCAATTATTTTCCATTTCTCTCATAGGATCATCTTCCTTGGTCTCCTTTACATGCCTGGCCACCCCCCCCCCCCCCCCACCACCACCACACACACCCCACCATGTGTCACTGAGATGATCTATATGCCTGACAAGTATATAAATTGTTTGCCTCGTTTATTGCTACTTCACCTTTTGGAAGCATGATACGCTACATGATACAACCTCTTCCAGTCAATTTGGAATGTACCTCCTCAAATGTCTGTGTGGGTTGGACATACAGGAACGTTCTGAACCCGTGTTAACGTATTTGATTATTTATATACAAATAATTGTCCTTTTTTGTTTCCGATGTTTCACTCATTCTTTCCAATTATTGAGTCTATTGTGTCTACACTTGTTATGCTTCAGTCACATTTCTTGACAATAAAATCATAGAAACTTAAAGCACAGAAGAAGGCCATTTGGTCCGTCATATCTGTGCCAGCTTCGCAAGAGCAGCCTTTTCAGTACCATTTACCTGCAGCTGACAACCTGTAGCTAATTCTTTTTAAGATCTGTGTCTAGTTCCCTCTCGAAGGCCAACAAGGATTCTCTCTCAATGATTACTCCCGGCAGAGTATTCTCATTACATTACCTGCTCTCCATTCCTGTTGGATTCATTTAATTTGCTGTGTTTTCCTAAAACAAACAACAATAATAGAGATATGTTTTTTATTTGATAGAGCACCTTTCAAATCAGAAATTTCTCAATTTCTCAAAACGAATTCAAAGGATTTACTGCAAAATGTAGTAACTGTATTTCATTGGAAACTCTGGAATCAATTTGTTCATAGGAATATCTTTAAAAGAGTTATGTGGCAATTGATCATTTTTATCTGGGAGACCTAGTGGCCAGGACACCATCAGGAACTCCTTTCTCTTTACAAATAGGATCACGGGATCTGGAATATGATCTTGAATAGACAAACGGGATTTCAATTTCAATCTTATCCGAAGGACTGAATCCAGTGGGGATTCAACCGCAAATTTCTGACTCAGAGACATGAGTGCTACTAACTAAGCCAGACTGTCACCTGAAATTAATCATAAATGAAATATGTCCCTAATATCCAGGTATTAAATTTGAAAATGCTTTGAGTAGAATATGTGCCATTGGACACTTTACATTTTAAATTTTAAAAAGATTAAACCAGTAAGCATTCTGCTAAATAAATTCACCAACGTGATTCTATCAGGACATTTCGATTCTGTACCTATCCCACTGATCTATAATCTTATTGGCAACTTTACAGAAACATGCTCTTTAAACATCTGTTCTATCGCCTCACCTAATAGCCTCGCTTTTGCCCAATAAGATGGTGCAAAGAACACGGATGGTATTGAGATAAAAGATCCACAATTAATCCAAATTGAAACAGAATATGTCTTACCTTTGCTTTTCATTAATGGAATCCCAATGATTAAAAGCAACAGCATTGACAACACACCCACTGCGCTTCCAGCGATCAGTAAATAATAATCATCTGGAAATTCATACTCTATAAGAAAATTACAAACTATGAATTATACCTGTACATTGTGAAGTATGTCATTAAATTCTTGTCCTACACAGGATGTGTTATTAATCCAGCGATGCTTTGGTCTTGCTAATTACATTGTTTGTTAAAATAGACTAAAGCGAGTAAAAATTAACATTTTATTTTACTTATTTCATGAGGGATTAATATATAATAGGAGTTTTACATTCTGCATATAGAGTTTCACATTCTTGATATTCTTTACATCACAGTAATAATACTTTATATTACAGTAATTATACTTGAATTTGACATCAGCCGGGGTGGTGTCAAGGATCTCCACAAGATTTAGCGTAAAATGTAATAACTATTTATAATAATAATCCTTGCATTTGATACAGCACCTTATCACATCTTTCAGATGCCTCAATCGTGCTTCACAGAATATACTATAAAGTGAATTGACTGTATATTTTGTGGCTAAACATGGCAGCCAATTGCGCACAGCAGTGTTCCACAAACAATAAATTGAGTGAATAAATAATTTTTTTTTAAGAGATTATTACTCCCAGAAACGTGATCTGCCAATCGACTAACAACTGACTTCCCACTTACTGCTTGGTAAACGGAGGCTTGTGGAATAAGGAAATTTGCCCAACATTTCGCCCTGCCCAGGAATCAAACCCAGGTCTTCTCACTTGCGAGGCGAGTTGTGCAACCACTAAGCTACAAGACTCCGCGTCGCCTCATATTTGTAGGTGAATATGGCAGACCAATTTTTATCTGGAGCATGAAGAAATCGGGAGAAACTTACTTCTCTTGTCGAATAGTCCCATGGGAACTTTTAAACAAATAAACCGTGGTTTAATGTCTCATCCCAAGCATTGCACATCAGACAATGCAGTCCTCACTCAACAGTGCACTGGAGTGTCGCCAACACTATTCATCAGTTGAGATTAGCAAGGGTATGACTGAAGTTTGTAGAATGAATTAATTATCGGATATATTCCTGTAAGAATTTAGTTCAGATTAATTGAAGTTAAGATTATCGGACTGTTACCTCTGTCAGAAAAAGGAATCATAAAGTTTGCAATTCCTTCGGTCCGGAGGCTGAGGTGAGATACCATGCAGGTATAAACGCTCTGGAGACTCTGTGTCACTCCCACAGAACTCGAAGCTTGATACAGTCCATCCGAATTCTGTTGTTGAGTAATATTTATCCCAGTCGAAATTATGGTCCCATTTATATACCAGTTGAAGATGAGATTCCCGGGGTAAAACGCCTCCGTTTTACACACAAGAGTTGATGCAGAAGAATATTTTTCAGCAATTGTATGGAGTATGTTCAGGGGAGTTGGAGCAACTGTAGAACATAAACACAACAGAATCATACAAGACCCGATTGGGGAACAAACTATTCTGATGGTAGCTGATTAATATCGCATCCAATGCTTTGCTTTGTAGAAATGTTATAACTTTGAATTACGAACCGCCTTTTAAAGATGAAAATGTGGACACAGAGAGTTGACTGATTATTAAGTTAATTCTTAAAGTTTATTATAATATATTACAATTATTATTACATTATTAATTAATATTATTATAGGAATTGTATTTCCATTATAATTCATAAAGAGTAAAAAACAAATATAGAATAGAATAAAAAGCTGGTGTTCGTTTTTCATCCAACAGCGAGTGAGAGTCACAGTTTCTAATACCACAAAAGATAACAACAACAATAAATTACATTTGTATAGCTCCTTTCACTTTGGGAGTACATTCCAAAATAATAATAATAATAATAATCCTTGCATTTGATAGAGCACTTTTCACATCTTCTCGACGTCTCAAAGCACTTCACAGAATATACTTTAAAGTGAATTGACTGTATATTTGTGGGCGAACGCGGCAGCAAATTGCACACAGCAGTGTCCCACAAACAGTCGTGGATTGAAAATGACCAATTTATTATTATTTTGCTTTGGAGGGATTATTAGGCGTGTGGAGTAAGGAAACTTGCCCAAGGTTTCGCCCTGCCGGGAATTGAACTCAGGTCTCTCACTTGCAAAGTGAGTGCTCTAACCACTGAGCTACAGGACTATGAAATGTTATTGTCGTCCAATTGAAGCTGCGCTCCCATTCTAACCAATGTAAATTTAACGGCTTCAATTTAGTTATACCCTGTATATAATTTATAGTTACAGATTGAAAGTCCGGGGAGGATTAACACCACGGGTCAGAGACAGTCTCAACTGTATTGAACTTTCTGGATTGTATTTAGCCTCCATAAACAAGAGAAATAATTTGTTGCTGTTAATCTAGTTAATGGGAGCTGAGGGGGAAATTAAGGTTTGGGGTTGATGTTTATGCTATTTAAATGTCAATAAGATCTGTTTCAAATTGCCACAGATATACCCTCACATTTTTTAACTGAATTGCGAGATAATCCACTAAATGTCATGATTATTTTGGTCCGATTCAAGAAGTTCTTTCACAGCAGGGAGTTGTGTCAAAGCGCTTCACTGGGTTTTACTGAAATGTGCAGTGTTTGTATTTTACAGGCATATGAAGCAGCCAATTTGCACACAGAAATGTCCCACAAACGGTCATGAAGTCAATAACAATTTTATTTGGTAACTCATTGGCCACAACAGTGGGAAATAAGATATGGTGTGCATGGGATAACAATTTTGAAAACCTACGGTAGGGAATTACAACATTTAGTTATGCCATAAATATTTTGTATTAAATCTCAATAAACCATTCTGCTCCGCTTAACTATTAGTGTCATATTTAAAAGTTGGAATAATTGCCATCTCTGCCGTATTCATACTTACCGCACACAGTTAACTGCGACCCAGATCCACGTCCTGATTCTCTTCCCTCATGGATCACTGCACAGTAGTAGACACCAGAGTCTTGGATTCTCACATCCAATAGCTGGAAGGAGTAGTTTCCTTTATCTTCAAAACTGAATATTTTCCTGTTACCATCGTTTGCATGAAGATATCCATCTTCTCCATGCTTCGACCAATATACTTTTATGCGTGTGTGGTTTGGAGAGACAGCAAAAATACATTTGAAGGTGATGTTTTCACCTACGAGTGGAATTCCATGTTTGGGGTGTTGTGTTACTTCGATCAAAGTACCATCACTTACTGCCAAAAAGAATTTCAAATTAGGATTATACAGACGATAAAATGAATAATGAAAAGTAAAGTCGAGTAGAACAACAACAAATTAGATTTGTATAGCGACTTTCACATCGGGAGGAGACTCCTGAGAGATACACAAATGACATAAGAAGACATTGTTTGCTTGCCAAACATCAGCGGAAAAGAAAACAGGAAAAATTACAGTTTGACAATTTATTATACAGTATTTGCATTATTATTCAGAAAGTTGCAGACATAATATAAACACACACCTGCAGAATGTATCACCATGAGAAACAGAGAATTAAAAATAACACTCGCTGCCATATTAATCACTGGCTGAGACAAACCATAAACCTGTTGCTGGACGTAACTCAGGGTTGCAGTCGCTACAAATGTGAAATGTGGCACTGACACTGACTTCGGGTCTGTGAACTCAACAGACACAATTTAATTGGATGCATTACATCAAACCAAAGGCAGTTGTCTCCATAAAAGGTGTTGCCAATCTCTTGTCTTGCAGGCAGCAAAGATGAAAGTGCTAATTTGCAGATGACAGTAAACTGGGGGATGGTGAATGGGCGCGGAAGCCTTTTTGTTCCATATATCTTTCATCATATAAATAGTTCCCACAGTTGACATAGCGCCTTATCATATCATGAAAACACCCCAAGCATTTACCGTGAAATGAAGACTGTATATTTGTAGGTGTACATGGCAGCCAATTTGACGACAGCAATATCCTACAATATTCATTTATATAGCGCATTTTATTTAAGAAAGACACCTCCACATGATTCATAATGCTAGATAGGCACCCAAGCTGGGGATGTGAAAGAAGGAGTTGGGGAAGGGAAGGATAATCGGAAATTTGGACAAATAGAAAGATTTTGAGGAAATTCCTGTGTAGCGCTTTGAGATATCTCGATGACGTGATGATGCACTATAAAAAAATTAAGGATTATGCAGATTATATTATTAATATAAGAGGCTATAGGGCAAATTACTTGCTTTATAAATGACAGGATTTATATCCAGAAATTTCTAAACATAAACCTTTGGAAAAAGACAAAGACCGTCAAATAACACTTAAGTTCACGATAAGTCTGAGGCTAATCAGCATGATGGCATCACTGGTCTATAACGAGGGCTTGCAATTGCTTGAGATGAAATAAAAGGTATTGGGTTTTGACTTCCTTTTATCTTGGATAGATTTTAATTGTCTCTTGCACAGATCGGTCCGAAACATACTAACAGTGCAACCTCCAAGAGCCTTTGGCATCTGCAAGAAACAAAGTTAATTTTGTGGGAGATCTGTTCTACTAACAAAAGAATCTTATAGTACTGAATCTTGTATAAGATCAATAAAATCAGATGCTTATGAGCAGATACTTTATATATTGCGATGTTTTTTTCCCTGTTAGATTCCACAGAAGTCATATGGAAACACAAAGCAGACGGATTTGATGCAATTTAGTTTAATCTGAAGATGGCATCATTTTTTGCAAAGCGATATTTGTGTTTATTACTCCAGACAGCAAAAATTTGCAAAGAAAGCAGAGATATATTTTATTGAAAGAATCTTCAGAGCGACAGTGAGGTAGCACAGCTGGGTAATTTACATATACATGTTATCTCAACGGTAAATGTTTTTCTATCCATGTAGAAAGCATTGCACGTTTAGAGATAAACAGGAACATTTTAAGACCTGGTTTCATACTTTGTTTACTTTGTTTATCGGCTCTACTTGGATACATACGGTGCATCTCCCTCAGATGTTCTGTTTCTACTGCAGTCAGTCGATTTACAGCAGCAGAACTCAATCTCTTTTCATTGTTTCTCTCTTCTAACATCTACAAAGGATGTTAATATTGTTAATAATAATAAATCAATATTAATAATATTAATTTTAATAATAAATTAATATTAATAAGTTAATATTAATATTAATGTTAATGTTGTGAATAATAAAACATTGTGAAAATTGCAAACATATTAATCACATGATTGTCTTCACTGACCATATATCATCGTGAATCAAAATTAGGCTGTATCTTAAAAATATTTAAGTTTCCAAAGTACTATTTTAAAACAGCAAATCAGTTCACAATTAAACATAACAAATGTAATAAAATATGGAAATGTAAAATGTAATAGTAAACATATATAACACGTCTTGATGTGGTAGACTCGTGTTAAAGAAACAAAATAAATTAAAAATGGAAATGGCAGCAATTACGTAAGAGTGACTTAATGAATGAAAATCTTACCTTTAAAGAGGTTGATTCTGAAACAGTCCACAATGATAACCGCTAAAACAAGCATTACAAACACGCACAATGGAAAACAGAAAATACTGCAGATACTGATGCCTAAACCTGCAAAGTAATGGCAAAACTGTATATTATAAATGATGTATTTTAACTGAAATGCAGTTTTTAGACTACTCTGAGGAACAACATTAAAGGATGCTCTGTTATAAGCTTCAAACTGTGAAATTTAATGAAAAATCTTTTGAGACAGATATAAATTAAAAATACAATGTTCTGTTATTTTACATAAAGAGAAGCCATTAAATATCTTTTTGGAGGAAAATACCGTCAATATTAATATAATGAGAAATGATTATTATGATACTAGGGCAGCCAGAGTGCAACACACAAGATGAATTCTAAAGCAAAAGCTAATTAGCTCGATATTAATCAGTATATTCTCATATGCTTATGTGGTATTTATCGTTTGTAGTCTTTATTTTCCACTTTTAGATCTACTTTCAGATGGAAGCATTTTTGGCAATTTTGCTTCTCGTTCATTCAATAAACACAATAATTATTTGTTTAATGTCATTTATTTTATTTCTGTCCACCTGACGTTCTCTCTATGTGTTACGTAATGTAACATGTGGATTGTTTTCTTGCTGAAGACCTTTTGGGCTGTTGTAGTTTCAAATTTCTATTGATTGCTCACTGCATTTAAACAATGGTGGATTCAGCAGTGATATTATTCTATTAAAAGGTATTTTGTATTTCCTGGCATCTGGCCGTGTTTGCAGGTACTCCCTCTCCCCATGCTTCCACCAGTATACTTTTGTATGTGAGTTTTCTTCAAAGTAGGAAATGGCACAATAGAAGGTGATGCTTTCACCTTTGATTACAGTTGTGTGTTTGGGGAGTTGAGTTACTTGGACCGAAGTGTCGTCAACAACTATCAAAACAAATTCAAACACTGATTGCGTAAAATATGTCGCCGATGAAAATGATTACAGAGAAAAATAAAGCAAAAGGTAAAGAGACGATGGTAAAGCAAGATTGATACTGAGGTTTTATTTCCTGTCTGTGTATTGATTAAGAATCTATTCAATTTTGCCATTCCTGAAACAAGATTTTACCTACTTTAAGGATGCCTACAATCATTCATCATATCATAAGCAACATAACAATAACCCTTACATTGGATAAAGTGTCTTTCACATCAGGAGGTGGAATCAAAGCGCTTCACAGGATACATTGTAAAAGCGGACTAACAATATGTTATTGTGGGAGTAAGTGACAGGCAATTCGCGCACATCAATGTCCCACAAAACAACCATGAAGGGAATGACCAATCTTATTTGGGGGATTATTGACCACGTCACTGGGAAACATATTTTGAAAGGTGCAATGGGATCCTCAACGTTCATATGAAGAGGCAGGAGAGTCCATCTGTTTAACATCTGATCCAAAGGAATCTGAGAATCCAAAAAGGAAAAGATAAAAATAATATCTGAATTTCACAAAGTTTGCTCTGACTTTATTAAACTTTTTTTTCAGCACTTATTATTTTACAGGTACATTCGAGCTGTATCTACCTGTATATCAACAAATAAACATTCTGATTCTACCCAGAAATTGACAAATCAATGTCCGGTTGCTTTTTGATGACATTCGTTGTGTTAAACAATAATAAGTCACAAGAGTCCCATATTAAGAGTGTCATTCTGGTAAGTTGCAGAAGTCATCTTGCTTGCTGCACAAGGCTAAGACTGCACCATGATTGGCGAGCTCCTCTCTATTGACCTGAAGATAATAGTGGAATACTTTCAATGCTGGTATTTCTGACCATGCCTCCAAAACTTGGGCAACAGCCTTTCACACGAACAACAATAGCCGACAAAGAACTAGTTAAAGTCACCTTTCACTGTCAACTGGTCCAAGATGAGCCTAACCATGTAAACTTGCACAGAAACTTGAGTTTTAAAACTCATCTGAAAAAAGGCATGTAAATAGATTCAAGCAAAGACGAGTCTCATCCGAAAACTCAGAAAAATTTAGAATTTTCGCCATAGCTCTGCAAACGTATCCTCCCCAAATAATTATGTACTTCTCTCTTAAAAGTTGTTATTGAATGGCTTCCACCACCCTTTCAGGCAATGCATTCCAGATCCAACAACTCGCTGTGTGAAACATCTTCTCCTCCCCTCCCCTCTGTTTCTTTTAACAACTATTTAAAATCAGTGTCCTCGGGTTACCGACCCACCAGCCAGTGGAAATAGGTTCTCCTTGTTCACCCTATTGAATCCCCTCATAATTTTGAAAACTTCTATTAAGTCTCCTCTTAACCTTCTCTGCTCCAAGGAAAATAATCCCAGTTTCTCTAGCCTCTCCTGATAACTGAAGTCCCTCATTCCTCGTACCATCCTGGTAAATCTCTTTTGCACCAATGCCTTGACATCCTTCTTATACTGTGGTGCCCAGAACTGAACCCAGTACTCTTGCCTTAGGCCTAATCAGTATTTTATAGTTTCATTAAAACTTTTTTTTTCTATGCCCCTATTTATAACATCTAGTATCCCATATGTTTTTTTTAACAGCTTTATCTACCTGTCCGGCCATCTTCAAAGATGTACTTATATAAATGCTCAGGTCTCTCTATTCCTTCTTCCACTTTGCATATTTCCACATTAAACATCATCTGCCATGGGTCTGCCCATTTTACCAGTTTGTCTTTGTCTGCTTGCAGTCTGCTACTATCCACCTCACTCTTTACTACTTTTCCGAGCTCAGTATCACCTGCAAACTTGTAAATTGTACCCTCTTTACCCAAATCCAGGTCAGCTATATAGATGAAAAACAGCAGTGGTCCCAATACCAACCACTGGGGAACATCACTGCACACTTCGCTCCATTCAGAAAAATAACTGTTCACCATTACTCACTGTTTTCTGTCTCCCTGCCAGTTCTGTATCCATGCTCTCACTGTCTCTTTAATACAATGGGCTTCTATTATGTTTACAACTCACTTATGTTGCACTTTATCAAATGCCTCATGAAAATCCATATAAGCTACATCATCTGCACTACCTTCATCCACCCTCTCCATTACTTCATCAAAAAAACTCTATTAGGTTT